ATGGTGGCCATGGAGGTCTTCTCCATCTTGGCCTCCAGTGCAGGGCTGCTGGGCTGCATCTTTGCTCCCAAGTGCTACATTCTTTTGTTAAAGCCTGAGAGAAATTCTCCTGCTGGGATCAGGGAGAAAACACATTCTGCCAGAACGGAGCCTTTTTACCATTAAATATCTGTTTGCTAATGTACACTGAGGGCTTGAATTCAAAGCTGAATCATACATGAAGTCTGATACTATAGTCTGAGAGGTGGGTGGACAGAGGTTTAAAGGCAGAAAAGGCTGAGTATAGTTCAGGGATCCATTGATGGGACAAAAGAGCGAAGGAGAAGGAGGGAGGAAACATGAAAACAAACCGGAGACCTGGAGAGTTTTATTCTTTTCTTGCTGTTCAGACGTTTCCAATATATTCCATCAAAACCTCAATACATTTAAAGTGCAAAATATAATAATCTGTCAGTGCCCTCACCTGAAACTTATGGAAATAAAACTGCCCCCCTTCAGATCCCCTCAGCCCTGCACAGCTCCAGCTCCTGGTATGCCTGACTCACCTGCTGAAAGAAATTCTTAGTCACCTGGGCTTTTAGCTCCCTTTCCCTTGTCTCCATTTCTGTATTTCCACATGCTCGGGCTTCTCTACCTCTGATCCATCAGAAATTCCTCCCCCAAGCCAGCTCCCAATGCTCTCAGACCATATGGTCAGGTACACTGACAGCAATGACTCCAATTCTCTGCTACCAAAATGTGTCTCAGTCCCTTCCTCATTGCTGAGACAAAATACTGAATACCTGCGAGGTATTCAGTATTCAAGAGGAGGAGAGGTTTATTCCATCTTGTGGTTTTCATTCCACATCGGCAGGCTCTGAGGCAGAAAGGCAGCACGGAAGGTCGTGGCAGAAGAAAGCTGGTTAGCCACGGCAGTGAGGAAGCAAAGAGAGATGGGGGACTTGGGGACAGGGACAGAGATTCTCAGGTTAATTCCCAGGACCCCACCTCCAGCCAGGCCCCACCTGCTGACAGCACATTTAGGTACGAAACTTCTCTAGCAATGAATGTCCTGATGAACACAGGGCCCCACGATGTAATCACCTTCCACACACAAGACTTTGAGGGACACATAATAGAGGCTGTGGGAAAATGGAGTGCAAAGAAAGTAAAATTTGTTGAGCAATTAGTGGGTGCCAGAATTATGCTAGGCCGTCTGTGCTGTAGTCTGCAGTAACCCCTGAAGGAGACATCGTTGTCCATGATTTTGCACATGGGAAATGGAGTATCTGAGGAGAAAAGTGCCTCACTGAGGTCCCCCTCCTAGAAACCGGCCAGGACTGGGATTCAGGCTCCAGCCTGGGCCGCTCCTTCCCCCGCCGCACCTGCACTCTCTTCCTGGCCAGAAACTGCTTCTGAAGCCCCAGCGCTGGCAAGGAATCCCTAGGACTTCAGGTTCCGACTTTTGGCAAAACAGTTTCTGTGAAGAGGTGGCATTCAACTGTTACAAGTGACAACATAGCAAATGATTTCGTTTTAAACCTCTGAAGTAGTAAGCCTTGCTGAGCTGAAAAGTCAGTGTGACAGTAGATACGCATCCTGAAGCCCTCACATGATACTCAGGGAGAGAGGACATGTTAAAATCCACCCATTGCACACCAGACAAGGATGGGAAACTGAGGCTCAGAGAAATGGGTGACTTTTCAGGCAGAGCCAGGATGCCGGCCCAGAGGTCACAGTTGTCCCCTCCACTCCAGCGAACTCCCTCACATCCTGACCTACGTACTGCTGTAACCCAGCCCCTCTCAGCCACCTGGTAGCCCCTCCACTGAGCCAATTCCTGAACAGCATCGCAGATGTCTCTTGCAAGGTATGTGCAAGGATGGTAATGAGACACCTGTGTCATTGCTGCAGAAATGCCATGCGAAGGGACCCAAAATCTCAGTTCACAGAAGGCCTGGCAAAGTCTCCTAAAATGCTCACTGCTGGTTAGCTCTGCTCTATGCCTGTTAGAGATTAGTCCACTTCCGCACAGCAAAAGCACCATGAGGCATGGACCATTTTTATCTTGATTTTACAGATGTGGACACTGAGACCCAGGGATATAATGTGGGTTGCAAAGACTCAAACCCAGAGAGTCTGACCTGAGCCTGACCAACTTCCTGCCTCAAGGTCATGGTGTCCACTCCAGTCCTCAGGACTCCGTCCCCACACTGCTGCCCACAGGTTCGACACAAGGCAGCCAAGTGGACCCTGGGCTCTGCTGCCACTGCCTGTGCCCTTAGGAAGAGGCGCCTTGCTCTGCAGTTGGAGTCTGCCCTAGCCACCCCTTCCTCTCTCCTTCCTCCAGGCAGAGGAGGAACCTACATGAAACTCTGTGCTTCCCACACCTTCTGGACCAACCAGTATGTGCCCTGTGCCCTCCCTCTACACTGGCTTCTCAAACGCCTACTACATGTCAGGCACGGTGCTGGGGGCTGGGAAACCACAATGAGGGATTCAGACACGGCCCTGCTTTTGGAGGGGAAAGACAG